TCTGCCTTTCTTTTCTTTCCTATAGACTGACACATGCATGGCTATAGTACACCTGCATGCCTAGGTTGTTTTTCCTCTCTTCAAAAACTTTGTTACTTTTAGTTGTCTTTTAACAGTTTAATCAAAATTTGTTTTTCAAACTTTATATATATTTGAACTCCTGACACCAAGTTATTCAATTTAACATATTTTTTAACTGGAATTGAAATATGATTTTTTTAGAAGATTATCAGTGTTTTCAGTGAGGAACATTGCTTGGCATAGTGAAGAACTTCTCATTTTCATTTGCAAAGTGATAAATAAACTGGACCAGGAGCTGAGGAACTTTATAAATAGGTTTTCTGCACTTTATTCGAAATATTAAAGAACTTCTCTAGAAAATGTATCTGGAACCGAAGAACTTTATGAACAACTTGTCTAAACTTTGATGAAATGTTTATGAAACTTTTTTAGAAATATATCAATATTGGACTTGTTTCGTAGAGCTAGCCGTGAGAAACTCAAATACATAAACGAATTCAAATTTGCATAGTTTATTTAGAAGTTATGGTGATATATTAACTTTGCTAGCAAATATGGTGAAGTAGCCCATCACCGATGCCTTGTGTACCTTGTGTCAGATTTCTAGTATAGGACCTATTGATGTTGACATGCATGCATGAGACCAGCTGCATGTTGATTTGACGTCTAGGATGGATGGGTGGATCAGATATACGTTGCGCGCGCAATGAGCTAGTAAAAATCCGCTTCCGGGCTGGGCCGCGTGCATGTGGCCTCCTTTGCTGTGCCCAGCCAATTTTTTTTATTTTTTTTGAAACTGCCCAGCCAAAATTATTGATCGACAAAATAGTGTCATCACTCCCCATTGGCTGCGCTGCACAGTCCGCCTCTTCCCACGTGGCATGCGCGAGCGAGCGCCCTTTGCGCGATGATAAATGTGTGCGATGACCAACTGCATGTGATCCACTCAGTTTTTGTCTGTTTGGCGCTTTCCATATGCTGCATCATCGTTTGGAAAGATGCTTCATGAGCGGCGGGAATCCTATGAAAATTGGGGCCGCCAGCTGCGCGTGCTCCACGACTCTGTTGGATCCACTCAGTTCTTTTTGTCTTTTTAGCACCTTTCATTCATATGCTGCATCATTGTTTCAAAAGATCCTCCATAACATAATGTAGTATCACTTGGTCTGGGCTTTTGGTGTGCTCATCCTCTTCTTGTGCTTTTGATGAAGGCGGAAGGCAAATACAAAGATGAAGACTCCATCCAACAGTAATAACGAAGTGCCAAAATGATTTACACCATAGACGTGTATAAACACCGTGACACGAAAATAAACAAGTCCCAACACGACCTCTCCGCATTGTCAGTTCTATGGCAAGAACG